CAGCGCGGAGAATCGTTACAAATTCTCTCGCATGCTTGACCGTATCGGCGTGGATCAACCTGCCTGGAAGGAACTTACCAGCATCGAGGAGGCCAAGGGATTCTGCGACAAGGTCGGCTACCCAGTGCTTGTCCGGCCCTCCTACGTGCTTTCGGGAGCTGCCATGAACACCGTCTATTCGGAGCACGATCTTGCTACCTATCTCAACCAGGCGGCTGATGTTTCACGCGAACATCCCGTCGTCATCACCAAGTACATTGAGAACGCCAAAGAGATTGAGATGGATGCCGTCGCTCGTAACGGTGTCATGGTCGGACATTTCATCTCTGAGCATGTTGAGAATGCTGGTGTCCACTCTGGAGATGCAACCCTGATCTTGCCCCCTCAGGATCTTGACCCTGAGACCGTTCGACGTATCGAAGAGGCCACTGCTAAGATCGGAAACGCTCTGAATGTCACTGGTCCCTTCAACATTCAATTCATCGCCAAAGACAACGATATCAAGGTCATTGAGTGCAATGTCAGAGCTTCTCGTTCATTCCCCTTCGTGTCGAAGGTTATGGGCGTCGACCTGATTGAGATGGCTACCAAGGCGATGATTGGCAAGCCCTTCGCTGAGTACCCGCCAGTAACCATCCCCAAGAATTACGTTGGTGTCAAGGTCCCTCAGTTCTCTTTCTCTCGTCTCTCCGGTGCCGACCCAGTTCTGGGCGTTGAGATGGCTTCTACCGGAGAAGTTGCTTCCTTTGGTCGCGACAAGTACGAAGCTTATCTGAAGGCTCTGATCTCCACCGGTTTCCGTCTTCCCAAGAAGAACGTCTTGTTCTCGATTGGTTCTTACAAGGAGAAGATGGAGATGCTGCCGTCTATCAAGAAGTTGCACCAGTTGGGATTCAATCTCTTTGCTACCGCTGGTACTGCCGACTTCTTGAAGGAGAATGGTGTGCCTGTCAAGTATCTGGAGGTTCTTCCTGGCCAGGAAGATGAACTTAAGTCCGAGTACTCCCTTACTCAGCACTTGGCGAACAACCTCATTGACCTTTACATCAACTTGCCATCCAACAACCGCTTCAGACGTCCCGCGAACTACATGAGTAAAGGCTACCGGACTCGTCGTATGGCCGTTGACTACCAGACTCCTCTGGTCACCAACGTGAAGAACGCCAAGATCTTGATCGAAGCCATCGCCCGCCACTACGCTCTGAATGTGCAGACCATTGATTATCAGACCAGCCATCGCACCATCATCTTGCCTGGCTTGATCAACATAACCGCCTTTGTCCCTGGTCTGGTCACTCCCGGTTCCAATGACTTTGAGCTTGTCACCAAGGCTTCGATTGCTGCTGGTTTCAGCATGATTCGCGTCATGCCCGTGGGCGTCGACGCTTCTGTCACGGATGCTCGCGCTCTCAGACTTGCCCAGCAGAATGCTCAGAAGGCTTCTTACTGTGACTTCAACTTCTCCGTTGTGGCGACTTCTACCAATTCCGAGCAGGTCGGCCAAGTCACCGGAGAGGTGGGCGCTCTGTTCATTCCTTTCAACCATCTGTCTGGAAACATCAGCAAGGTCACTGCTGTGACAAACCACTTCTCGGTGTGGCCCTCGAACAAGCCCATGATCACCGACGCCAAGTCTACTGATCTCGCGTCAATCTTGTTGCTGGCGAGCCTCCACAACCGCAACATTCACGTCATGAGCGTCACCTCAAAGGAAGATATCAACCTCATCGCTCTCAGCAAGGAGAAGGGCCTGAAGGTCACCTGCGACGTCTCGATCTTCTGTCTCTTCCTCTCTACAGAAGATTTCCCTGACTGCAACTTCTTGCCGTCTGCTGAGGACCAGAAGGCCCTGTGGGAGCACATGAGCACCATTGATGTTTTCTCCATCGGCAGTATTCCCTTCCAGCTTGCTGGTAAGCAGGCCTCTCCAGTTTCCGGTATTGCCGAGTCGTTGCCATTGCTCTTCACCGCTGTATCAGAGGGTCGCCTTACCGTTGAAGATATTGTTTCTCGCCTTTACGAGAACCCCAAGAAGATCTTCGAGCTTCACGACCAAGCCGACAGTTCTGTCGAGATTGAAGTTGACCGCCCATACCTCTTCCAGAGCCCGTGCTGGTCTCCCTTCAATGGCAAGAGCTTGCGGGGTGCTGTTCAACGGGTTACCTTCCAGGGCAAGACCTCTTGCCTCGATGGTGAAGTGACTCGAGATGCTCCCAAGGGAACAGATATGTCTGGCCATCGTATTGTGCCTGCGTCTCCGTCTGTCAAGGCTATGTCTCCCATGGTCCAGGCTCGCCCGGAGAGTTCTCTTGACAGAAGACTGTCGATTTCTGGAACTCCAGGTCGCTCTTTCAAGCCAAGGGCCGCTGAGTCGGCCGCCAATGAGCTCGGTCCTCCTCTGTATACCCCTGTACAGACTTCTTCCTCCCTGCGCGATTTGCTGTCGCGGTCGACCTTCAGACAGAAGCATGTTCTCTCTGTCAACCAGTTCACCCGTGCCGACCTGCACCTCCTCTTCACGGTGGCTCAGGAGATGCGTCTCGGAGTTCAGCGCCAGGGTGTTCTTGACATTCTGAAGGGTCGTGTTCTGACCACTCTCTTCTATGAACCTTCGACCCGCACATCGGCATCCTTTGACGCTGCCATGCAGCGTCTCGGCGGACGGACTATCGCCATTTCCACCGAGCACTCTTCTACCAAGAAGGGTGAGACCTTGCAGGATACCGTCCGCACCCTGGGTTGCTACGGAGATGCCGTTGTTCTGCGTCACCCCGACCCCAGCAGCGCTGAGACGGCTGCTAAATTCTCGCCAGTGCCAGTCATCAACGGCGGAAATGGCAGCGTCGAGCACCCCACTCAGGCATTCCTCGATCTCTTCACCATTCGGGAAGAGCTTGGAACTGTCACTGGATTGACGATCACCTTCACTGGTGATCTGAGATACGGACGTACCATCCACTCTCTCATCAAGCTGCTCCAGTTCTATCACGTGCGCATCCAGCTCGTTGCGCCCAAGGATCTTTCTCTTCCCGAGGAGGTCCGTCAGACAGTCGTCGCATCCGGACAGCTGGTGCTCGAGTCTGAGGAGCTGACACCAGAGATTGTTGCACGCTCCGATGTCCTGTACTGCACTCGTGTGCAGAAGGAGCGGTTCGCTGATCTCGAGCAGTACGAGCGTCTTAAGAACAGCTTCATCATTGACAACGCTCTCATGAAGCACGCCAAGAGCCACATGGTCGTGATGCACCCCCTACCCAGGAATGCAGAGATCGCCGAGGAGGTTGATTTCGACCAGCGGGCGGCTTACTTCAGACAGGTTAGTTGCCTTTCTTTCTCGTCTCTCATTGTGTCGAGTTGTGCTGACTTATATCTGCAGATGAGATATGGCCTCTACTGCCGCATGGCTCTGCTTGCGTTGATCCTGGCACCATAGGTCATCTCATGTTCTATATAGGGAAAGAGGGACGCTGATGACTTGTGTGGTCAAGCATTCCATTAGTTCTCTCTTCGTTTTTGTTTTCCGATGTTCTTCCAGCACCTCATGTCATGTCTCAGAAAAGTTATGCAGTGTTTATACACGTAGGCTTCCGCGAGGAATACTAGATATACTCGCCTTATAGATTAGATGAATCTCTCTTATGAACCTCATGATCCCGTTACGTGTGATGTATGTGTTGTATGTTTGGGGTGTATTTTGTGTTTTGTGTGTGGTGTGTGGTGTGTGGGTTTATGTGTGTTGTGTGTGTTTTGATTTTTTCTCATTCTCTTTTCATTTCTTTTCTTTCATCGTTTATCTTTCCGTTTTATTTCTTTTTCACCTTTCCTTTTTACTTGGGCGTGCTTTTGGGACGGTCTTGGGTTGGATTTATGGGTTTTGGATTGGGTTTCTGTCGGATGGGTTGGGATTTTTCGAACGGGCGTTGATCGGTCAAGGTTTCTGGGTGGGACAGGACACTGCATAGCTATCATACAGAGATACCCATTTTCATCTATGCATCTCAATCATTATGCATCTTCAATGAGAACTTGACTTCTACTTCAACTATCCTCCTTTGATCTTTCACTCCTATCTATTTACACTATAAACAATAGATCTTCAAGAATCAGGATCCGAAATCGGTTCCTTCGAGAAGGTACAGCATTGGCAGAGAATGAGGACCAGAACAGCATATACTTTCTTTCTGCGATCGAATTTTCAAAATAGTCTTGAATCCCTAGTATGGACATTGGCAGCAGGAGCATCCCATTTCCAATTACCTTTAGGCCTGGTTCTCTGCGCCATGGCTCCCTTAATGCGAGTCAGTGACGAATCTCCGAAAGCCTTTTTTTACTCTCGTACTGACTCGTAGCTATCTAGACAACTATGGAGATAGGGAGATCTTATGTATATCCCAGAATATTGCTGGCCCTAGGTGCTGCAACGCTTCTTGACAATGGCTGATAATGATTCCATTACTTGTGCGGATGGCGTGATAGGGAGGAAGCCAGAAGAAGCTGGCTTGGTGGCTGTGAAGCCCACGCGCAGATCTAGTCTAAAGCAGAAACAAAGACGGTTGACGCTTTCCCTGCTTCCTCCGGTTCGACGATTGTCCTTGCTTTATGCTGTCGACCTCCAAATATGCACCCCACCTCCGCGATGACGAGATTGGGGAGGTCCGATTGCTCATCAAGCATGGCTATCAGATATCTTCACAAGAATGTCTTATTGACATTGGAGTCTCAGTCAATCGGGATTATTGGTCGGACATTCGATGGACTATATTTTCTTGTCTATGGCTATGCGGGATCGTCTTTCCTCAGTCCGCGTCCGTCATTGTCCCTATCGCGCAATTACGACAAGGATGGTGTGCTGTGTTCTGTATGCCATATGGCGCTTGATGCCCTCTCAGAACCTTCTTAATAGTCACCTATTGTCTGTTCGGCAATACCGTTCTACCTAAAAGCTCCCTCAACTGTCCCATTGTCGAGCAACACCCCACCAGGTAGAGCTGCTCGAAACTATGGCTCTAGTTGAGGAAAAGACAAGTTCGAAGCCTGCATCGCTACCGATGAAATCAAATACGCTCTCCCAGAGCAGCCTAGAAGGAGGTCAATTCGATATCAATGAAAAGGCGCTGTTGCGTAAGCTGGATTACCGACTGCTTCCACCATTGACGATACTATATCTTCTGTCCTTCTTAGACAGAAGCAATGGTACGTAGATTCTTGAATTTGTCGATTCAAGCCAAAAAGAATTATCGAATGCTTATTCAAAGCTTCTAGTTGGCAACGCTCGCTTGGAGGGTATGGCTACGGATATTGGAATGAGTGCGTGGCCTTGTTCACGATTATTCGCATGATCCGATGCTGATGACAGTGTGGTTTTAAAGCGGGCAACATGTACCTTACAGGTCTCACACTCTACTTCATTGGTTACGTCGCTTTCGAGGTCCCTTCCAATATCGTGCTAAAGAGGACTACACCTCGGATATGGCTCCCGACCCTCACATTGATCTGGGGCATCGTTGCCACGCTTCTTGGGGTTGTCCAGAATTACGCTGGATACCTGACATCACGGACAGGTAAATTGACAGACGTTGCATATAATAAAAAGAAGTGCTGACTCGAAAGGGGCCCATGTCTCAATGGGCCTTGTAGTCCGTTGAGGCGTGGCGCTTCGACGTCTGTAGCTCTGGGGATTGCTGAAAGCGGACTGTTTCCGGGCGTCGTCTTCTATCTTTCTATGTGGTATAAGCGAAATGAGCAGCACTATCGGGTGGCCCTCTTCTTCAGCGCTGCATCGCTCGCTGGTGCTTTTGGAGGCATTCTCGCCTGGGTAGGCACAACGCAAACCAGAAGATAATTAACATCCCGTTGACGATCTGCAGGGTATTGCGCATATGCGTGGTGTTGGTGGTTACAATGGCTGGAGATGGATCTTTATATTGGTAGGGCGCGATACCAAGCGTTCTTAAACGATGATTTAGCTGACTAGCTCGAAGGAAGGACTGGCGACTGTTGTCATGTCCATTGTCGCTTATTTCTGGGTCTACAATTACCCTGCAACTGCAGAGTTCTTGACAGACAAGGAGCGCGCGTTCATCCAATTCCGCCTGAAGAAGGATAGCGATGCCGCTCAGGACGAAAAGTTCAGTTGGACGGCAGTGTTTGCTGCGTTCAAAGATGTTAAGGTTTGGTTGTACGGGCTCTGCTTCCACACGATGTCTCTGCCCTTGTACACATTATCGCTGTTCATGGTAAGATGCGTCGACACCATAGACTATGTCGCTATCTGATAATGAATGTAGCCCACGATCATCAAGGAACTGGGTTATTCGGCTGCCAAGGCCCAGCTGCTTACTGTTCCTCCTTATGCCTTGGGGTTCATTCTGACAATCATCGTCGCAATCCTCTCTGAACGCACTCGGCGCCGCGCACCATTCATCATTGGCTCGACCACATTCGCCTGCATCGGATACATCCTTCTTCTCACTTCAAAGAGAGCATCCGTATCTTACGCTGGGGTCTTCTTCGCCGCTTGCGGCATCTACCCTTCGGTGGCCATCGTGCTGTCTTGGCCGGCCAACAACGTCTCCGGGCAAACCAAGCGCGCTATAGCCAACGCGATGCAGATCTCGATCGGAAACTTGGGAGCTGTCATGGGCACGCAACTGTATCGGACTGAAAGCAGCCCGCGCTACTATGTTGGCCATGGATTTGCATTAGGGTACCTCGTTGCGAATATCGTTGTGGTTAGTGTCTTGTGGGCTGTGCTCAACCGGGAGAATGTCAATAAGGCTAAGCAAAGAGAGGCAAAGGGCATAACTGCATTTATCGGTGATATCGGGGATGCAGAAGGCGATTTTCAGGGCGACAGAGATTCTCGGTGGATTTTTCAGACTTAACGACTGCTTATCAAATGTAACGGCTTCACTTAGTGCTCGGAGTTGGTACCAGTACGGTTCGGTTCATCTTTGTCGAAATACCATGGCAAGCATCCAGTGCGTTATCTCGGGTATCTGCAACCTCTTAGGTCCTAGGAACGCAAAATTAATTAATTTAAAGCTCCAAGGAGATAGATTAAACACATTATCTAGTGCCTTGGTTGGCTCAACGGCCACTCGACGCACGTGGCGGATCTGCTGTAGGTGAACGGCCTGCCGAGTCAACACTCCGCAGTCTGGGCATTTCCTCCTCTCACCACCGTCTAGAAATCAACCGATACAACCGAGACATCACCTTCGGCTACAGAGAACCGGTGGAGACACTCGCCTCGCGATGGCTTGGATTTGCCCGTCTTCGACGCTTGTTTTCGAGGAGGATGTTGTTGGATATCTTAAATACCACGAGTCGCACCATGGAGGCTGTTGAAATGTCTCACAGCCAGATATCTTCTCTTCTTTACATTATCTCAAACTGAGTGTCAAACTCACAAAATCAGAGAATGAGGCCGACTCTTCAGACTCTTTGGCTTCTCAGCCTGGGTTATGCAACCTCAGTTCATGCTTTGGAGCCTCTTGAACATCTGGGAGCTAACTCTCCATGGTTCGCTGGTATGCTCTTTTTTTGAACTATGTTATTTTTTCATACTGATCTTCCTACGTGAACAGGACCTAACATCAATAAGATCTCGTCTGACGTTCCAGATCAATGCTCCGTCGATCAGGCGATCTACGTTGTCCGCCATGGCAGCAGATATCCTGATCCTGGTGCCTATGCACAGTGGCAAGCGCTTTACAATGCTGTATGTTTTCTCGTCGTGGTAACATCGCTCAATTGCTGAGTTCATAGCTCCAATCTGCGAAGTTCAAAGCCTCTGGGTCTTTGAGCTTTATCTCTGACTGGGCTCCGGTGTTGAGATACCCTGATCAGCAGATAGCGCAAGTCTCCGTCACTGGGTATAAGGAACTGTGAGTATTTTCTGTCGGCCAGCTCTTTTGGAATGAACGATGCTGATACACTGGTAGGTACAATCTTGGAGTTGACCTTCGGTTTCGGTACCCTTCATTCTACGAAGACAATACGCCATTTTTGCTATGGGCGAACGACTATAAACGCACTATTGACTCTGCTAGGTATTCCACAGAACCTCTATCTGCAAAACTAGACTCTCCTAATATCTGACAGACTCTTTGCTCGTGGCTACCTCGGACCCAATTCCACCCACGGCGACATCTATGTCGTTAATCCGGACGTAGCAGCAGCCACCGGCAACTCTCTTGCGACATCCGACATGTGTCCTAATTTCAAGGACACCAGCGGAGGCACCTATGCCTCGACGTGGGACAAGATTTATCTGCCACTCATCACCGAAAGACTCAACAAGAAGATCTCTGGTAACCTCACTCTAACTGATGACCAAGTCTCGCTCTTCCCGTACCTTTGTGGTTTCGAGACCCAAATTACCGGCAGCACCAGTCCCTGGTGCGGTGTCTTCACGCCTAACGAAATCCTTCAGTACGAATACCGTCAGGATCTTCGTTATTACTACGGCACGGGTGAGTGATTCCTGTACAAATTGGACAAAGAGACGGAGTGAGACGAACGGCCACTGAAACTATTGTCAATTCCAGGTCCCGGCGCAGGAAAGAACATGACCGTCATGCTCCCCGTCCTCCAGGGCATCGTCAACCTGCTCGACGACGGGCCATCGGCGGCAGCAAACACGACCACCGGCACGAGCAAGCTCCCTCCTCTCATCGTCGCCTTCACGCACGACAACCAGATCAACGAGCTCGCCTCCCTCCTAGGCGTCTTCGACGAGCAGGAACCCCTTGCCGCTGATAAAATGGATAAGAAAAGGGTATGCTAGCTTTTCCCTTATCCAACCCAAGTCTAACTGTTGCCTGTAGATCTACGTCAGCACTCGCGTAAACCCTATGCGGGGGACCATCGCCTTCGAGCGTCTCAACTGCACATCCCACGGCAAGACCTCGGTTAATGTCCGTATCCGCCTAAATGACGCTGTCTATCGTAAGTTTGCCCCGTTGCATCTGCCACAGCAACATATTACTGTAGCGAGACTAACATCCATAGCCGTTCCGTCTTGCCGCTCTGGACCTGGAAGCAGCTGCCCGCTCGACCAGTATACCGCGCTGGTGGCCAAGAAGAGGGAGCAGTACGGTTCCTTTGCGTCGGTGTGTGGTCTTTCCGAGGGCAATGTTACCACTGCCACTTCGGACGGAGCTGTGACTTTCTTCAATGACTTGACGCTTCCTTTCTTGAGTGTTGTCAAGCCTTGATCCGATTCACTCGCCTGTTTTCTTTTTTCTTGTAACATTTGTATTCATTACACAGTCCTTACTGGTTCTCTTGTGTGATTTACAATGTATAGTACTCCATAATTTATTTAGAGGTATGCGGTCGTTGAGCATTTCACCCGCATAAGACTCTCTTTTGCAGATGGTACATGAGAGGGTATAGCTCGTGTAGAGCAATGCAGACACTATCGAGGCTTCCAGTCTTTGTCAAGGAATATTTATATAGAAGGGCTGTGACTCATAACGCTTATTATACGGCGCAGTCCAGCGACGGTTCTAGATCAAGCCTTATCAGGCCAGTATTTCCGTACGATTATCTTCTTGTTCACCTTACCCATCGCATTGCGCTCAATGCTGTCGACGACCTTCAAGACTGTTGGAATCTTGTAAGGGGCCATCTCCTGCTTAAGTTCCGCACGAAGGCTCTGAAGTTCCAGCGGCTCGGTCTGCAGGTCCGTCAGTTAATGCTTTGCGAGAGATGTGCTCGCGACAGGCAAATATCTCACCCCAGGCCGTTGCTTGACAACAGCAGCGACTCGCTGGCCCCATTCCTCGTCCGCAAGACCCACAACCGCAACTTCTTCAATGGCATCCAAGCCCAGCATCTTCCGTTCCACCTCTAGGGCCGAGATCTTGTATCCGCCAGACTTGATCAGGTCGACCGACGCCCGGCCTTGGATGTAGTATGCGCCGGAATCATCGCGCCGTGCGACATCCCCGGTCTTGAACCATCCGTCTGCAGTTATCTCCCTGGCTGTTGCGTCGGGCTGTCGCCAGTATTCGAGGAAGACGTTATCCCCTTTGATCTCGATCATACCGTCCTCGTTCGCAGTCTCGATGATTGCGCCCGTCTCCTTGTCGACCAGCCGCACCTGTACGCCAGGCAGAGGCCAGCCGACGCTGCCGTCTATCCGCTTGTCGACGTCCAGCCCGCAACTGAGCGCCATGCCAATCTCGGTCATGCCGTAGCGCTCCAGAAGGATTTGGCCTGTGATTGCGGCAAACTTGGTTTTGATAGGGGTAGGGAGAGCCGCGGAGCCGCTTACAACGAGCCTCAAGGAGTTGGCGCCACTTCGCGCAGCGGCTTCCTTGTCTGTGCCGCGTAGGTTGGCTTCGAAGTAATCGATCAATCGAGAATATATCGTCGGAACTGCCATGAACATCGTAGAGGAGCCCTGATCCTGCCACCGGTTCCATATGACTTGCGGGTCGAATTTGGGGTACATCTCGACCGTAGCTCCGCTGAGGAAACTAGCTGTTAGGCCGTTGATGATCCCATGGACGTGATGAAGCGGTAGGACATGGATGAGGTGGTCCGACGGGCTGTACTTCCACGCTTCGACGAGGCATCTCGCTTGGAAGGTGATGTTCTTCTGCGTTGTGACGCAGCCTTTGGGTTTTGACGTTGTACCAGATGTGTAGATCATCAGCGCCCTTCGATCAAGGGAGGACTCAGGGCCGAACGTAGGCAGAGAATTCGACGAGAGATCTTTTATCGCATGAAAAGGCCGGAGAGCCATGAATGGTACATCCTTGGTTATTGACTCACGTAGCGGCTCGTTAAACTTGGCGAACGTAGGGTGCAGAATGACCAAGGATGGGTCCGAGTCGTCTATTGTATAAAGTAATTCCTTGACCGGGTGAGTTGTACCTTCAATTGGCATTTGATATTAGTAGTCTTACGACAGTCGACGCTTAAAAGACGTACAGAGGGGAACGCAAACGCCGCCAGCAGCCCAGATAGCCCACTGGGTAACAACATAATCGTATCCATTTGGGACCAGGAAGGCGATGCGTCTTTCTTGCAGATCCTTAAGCCCCAATTCCTCGAGAATGATCTTTTTCAACGCTGCCGTATCCACTAAAAGCTGCGTGTAAGTGAATTGCTCCCCCTTGGCCGCATCTATCACCGCAACTTTCCCCGCATTGTGCTGCGAGACTTTCTGTGCCTCCAGAAATAAGGGGAGTGAGGGAATAGAATCTAATGGAGAGATTTCTTCTGACTCTGAACTGCATGAACAAAAGTCAGAGTCGACCTATGGGAATAGTTTGACCAAGATAGTGATCTTTAACAGGTTGAGGGGCGGACCTTCACTCGACATACCGGCCTTTAGTGGTGGAGGGGTAAACAGTCATGTTATCTTACGTATCTTGTAGAGGGGGTATGATAAAGGCCGCGATTCAGGGGATTCAAGAGGGGAAACTTCAAGAAAGTATCATTTGGTGAGAGACATTCGGGAATTCAGAAGATCGCTTTCCCAGTCACCCACTCCGTACGTCCGTACGTGCATTGAAAATCGAGTGAGGGGAGTTGATCTTAGCCGACGCTTATCGGAGTTCGGTCGTCATCCGGCGACAGAGAGACAGGGTAGGTCGAACGAAGCTGGAATGGATGAAGACATTTCAAACAGTGCCAATTGCACATTGCAGCATGTTGACGAGGAATGTTGAGCTAGAAAGTTTGTGGTAACTACCGGTTTTATCATTTGGCTTCCGTATCTGGAAGATCGGAATAATCCAGTACTATATAGTCGCAGTCGAGGAAAGTCGTCCTATTGTGCCATTATTTAGATGCATGCGTAAGGTGTAGGTGTCGAATCCTTCCCACTACCAGAATGCTATCAAGCGCCTTCGATTGCGCACTA